TATAGTAACGTAAGTAATATATATATATATATATATATATATATATATATATATATATATATATATATATATATGTGCGTGTGCGTATATATTGCGTTGGCAAACTTTGACAATGATACTTACATTTGCGACTGAGGCTTGGCATCTGATTTCTTTCTCTTTTTGCTGATGCTGCCAGTGATCGCACTCATTTTGACCCAAAGCGGGTCCTGTAATTCACGCGGGCTAGGCCTGTAACAAAAAGAACAAAAATTTAATCACACATGATGTAACGAGAAATCATTTCCAAAGTATTTCTTTTTTTTTTTTTTTCAGACACGCGCAAGTAAACCTTTTTTAACTTTTCCACCGGTATTAATAAAACGAAATCCGACGCGAGCATTAAAACACAGAGCAACCGGAAATCTCTACTAGATCTAGATCTAGAAAAATAAGCAATTCCACGAGAAGAAACGTAATTAAGGGACATGAGAAATTTTTCGTTCCTTGAGATCGAGTAATTGCCGAATGGGTTGCAATTCTCGCAACGCTCTAATATTTCTACCCGTGATGATTGTTTTCTTTTTTTTGTCGTTTCCTCCTCCTTCCTTCCTTTAAAAAAAAAGAAAAGGGAACGATAGAACGGTAGAAGATCGATTTATCGACACGTGAGACAGACACGTTGCATCCTAATACATGGCGGAATTCACGATGCGTATACACGAAGGGACACAGGACAATTATGGTCAAGGATACACGAGCAACCCATCCATAAAACGCCAATTCATCGTCGCGTGCTGCACTTATTCCAATATCTCACCCGGTACACGCCTGATAAATAATTCACCGCCACGTTTCTTCCATTCTTTTTTCGTTCTCTTTTTCTTTTTCTTTTTTTTTTTTTTTTTCCCCTCTTTTCCCCTTTTCGAATTTGTTTTTAAACCGCGTTGCGTTCGATCCCACTCGGAGATATCCCATCGATGTATAATTTGGGTAAAAGAACTTTTTACTTCGGCCAAAGAACCGTTGATATTTATTTATTACGAAGGTAAGGAAAAAGAGAGAATAAAACGAGATATAGAAAGAGTTATCTTTTCTCGTGTATCTCAATTCATTCGATGAATTTTATACCGTCGAGGTTGAGATTTTTAGAAAAGAAAAAAAAAAGAAAAAATTCAAAAGTGAAGAAAATATCGAGTAATTATAAAAATTTTAATATGCACGATTCGTTTTTTTCTTTTGATTCGATGAAACGAATCGAGATATTAACGAGGCAATGGTAAGTAGATAATAAGCAGTTGTAAAACGAGCAAACGTATGGCTCGTGATGGAACCCTGATAGATACGCGTTACACGCCTAATCGAATCCGCGAATCTACCTAAGCAAAATTTTTTTCCTCGTAACGCACCATGATATCGATACGAAAATTACAGGCTCGATTCGTCGAGGGGGATTCTCAACGGCTCAACGAATTGATAATTAATAATTCAGAATTGTACCAGATTTCTTGCACCTCTCTTGCAACAAACATGCATTTATCGAAAATCCTTACTAGCAACGAGCGTGTTTCTCGAGAATCGAATTTTCGCGATCAAAATTAAGCGATTAATTTTGAACGGGAACACGAATCGGAGATGTTGTTCTCTTTCGCCCATAGATTTATTTTAAACGGTATTTTATAATTTTTAATTAAAAAAAAAAAAAAGAAAGAAAGAAAGAAAGATAAATACCTGGTGTCGATAACATGTTGTCGTAATAACGCCATTTCTTCGAATAAAACGTTTAATAATTTATGTATCTTACGATCACGGTGAAAAAAGATATCGAAATAGATAGGTATGATAAGATAAAAATAAAATATAATTCAATGGAAAGGACATATTTAAACGTGTATAATAATCTGCGAAACGTTACGTTCGTCTCCGAATAGCGTTTTCGCTTCGTATTCGAATTCGATCTCTTCGTTTTCGACGATTTTCAAGAAACAAATAGTTTTTCATCCATTCCTCTTCCTTCCTTCCTTTTGACAAATATTTCTTACATTTATCGCGCGTGCCGAATAAAACCGGGAAAAATAAAATATTTCCAGCAAATGGTATTTCGGATCCAACGACGGCTATCTACAAATACAACGATACACGTGTATTATATCGTTCAATTTAAAGAAACCATTCTTTTCAGGGACGAGATAACGGTCTCTATTTGTCATACGAAAAATCTCTCGTGAAAAGTCTCATGAAAAAAAGTATCGAGAAAAATATCGTTTTAATAAGCTTTGCAAAAAAAAAAAAAATACGCGCATCTCTTTTATCGAAAACGTTTCATAGACTTCTCCGTTGGAAGAAAGAAAAGAAGAAAGAGAGAATGAAAAAGAAAAAAAATGCATTCGATATTCAAAATTGAACGAACTAAGTTTTAATCGACATAACGTAAGATTTGAAATTTTGCGCGCATTGTTCATCCTCGTTTGAATCCGATTCGAGTCAATTGAATATTTGATAGGCACGGAAAACATACGTATATAGTTTTGTACGAATCGAATTCGATTGAATTAACGAGATTAAATTCTTCGCTAATCTATCCTCCACAAGATAGAGTAGTTTTTACATTTTTATATCTAACGCAGGAAGAAATCCGCTTATATCACGTAAATGGATTTCGAATTGATGATAAAATTTAATTAATTAAAACTTTGTTTTAATTTACTCGTTAAAATTGGATAGGTTAATTAAAACTAAGTTTAATTCCCTTGATAAAATCAGAGTTAGCGAATTCTATTAATTCTAAACTCTAAATATTTCGATCACATCGATAAAATCGATAAAAAAAACATCGATTGAAAACGTATTTTCGATTATATAGATTGAATTCCATTTCCAAACAAAAATAAGCTTTATCGATTATTTAAATTACCTGCTATAAAAATTATTTCACGTTAGAAAAATTTCTCATCTTTCCGAATCGATATCCGCCATTAAATTCTATATCTTTTGATATCTCTTAAGCATTCAATAGCTTTCTCGTTTGATACTAATATTAACGAATAGCAAAGAAGTCGTCAAGTATTTTCTAAAGGGTGGTCAAGGTTATTTTTAATTAACTATTTTTATAAAAAAATATAAATACGTTACGTTAGAATCTAAATTCTAAAAAAAATCTATTTTTAATATGTTTTCCACTTTCTTTATTAAAAATATCCTTTTGTAGGGAAACAAGTTATTTAATTGTTATAAAACGAGGTTCTGAAAAGATCACAGATTAATTTGTTCCACTTATATATATATATATATATATATTTTTGTAAAATTACCTTTGAAAAAACGATAAAACTCGTTACAGCCTATAAAAAATTTCATATATGAGAGAGAGAGAGAGAGAGAGAATAGTAAAAATCGGAATATAAAACGAAAAATAATTTATCGTTTAGGGGGAAAAAATCATGGAGCGAGTAATTTGTCTAATATTAGGGCGAAAGTAGAAGGAGGAGAAGTGTGGAAAAATTGAGACGTAAGTGAAAATGAAGCGAAGCCGAGCAACCTCGATTTCGGCAGCCAATCCGCGATCTTTCGAAAACGACGGAGGCAGCGACAATTTGACACGGTGCGCGGCCCGAGAAATTCTCGGGTAATTTCTCTCGTAAATATAGCCGGGTGGACGCGAGCGCGTTACAAAGGAGCGAATTAGACACGTGCGTTGATCTCTCGTCAGGCATCTTGACATATTTGCCACTCGACGTCACCTAATCACCTCGGGCCACGCTAGCCAACATTTGCAACTAAGTTGCCAAGCCAGAAACTACACCGAGAGGATACCGTTTATACATTGTTTTCAGAACTGGCCAACTTTAATCCACGCTATTAATCGTCCGATTTCTGACCTTAACGTCACGGTCCAGCGCACGAAATTGAAAGGAATTCATCGACACGCTTCTTCCTTCCTTCCTTCCTTCCTTCCTTCCTTCCTCCTTCGTCTTCGCATCTTTTGATTTCTCGTCCAGGTGACGCAGCATTTCGACGAAGACGAGAGATCAAATCGATCGATCGGCACTCGCGTAATTGCGTACATAACGCATCGATAAATCGATTTGTACATCAATAACGTTTTCTTTTCCTTCCTTTCCTTTTCGCGTCGAGTTTACAATTTCTCTCTTATCGCCGCATCGAGATAAGGCGATTAATTCGAAAAAATGTTCCACGACATCGAAGACTTATTACCTATCGCATTACCATAAAGCGGATAATTTTAGAAAATCGCTTCGCGCTTGCCAAGACGAAAATGTAACGAAATGTAAGAGGACTCGAAGTAACTGTATACACGGTATACGTAATATACAAAGATTTATAAGATTGCGAGCAAAACATCACGCTTGGCCGTAGATGCGTGTACGATCCGGATTGAAAAATTCCGTAATTGCATCACGTTTTTCACGAAATGACGTTCTCGCGTATCGTGTTTGTATTTAATGAGACAATAACGCGTTTTCATGACGTTCGTATCGTTATCACGCTTGTTTTATTAACGGATCGTCTGTCGTTTCGTGTGCAATGAAACTACTATGCGCTTATAAACGTGCCCGTTGCAAGCGAGTTATATATGACCGATCGTGTACCTACACGTTCTTCCACGGACCGAGATTCGACGAATTAGCCCGGAACGAAAAAACGAACGAAAAATTATTTCCATCAAGCATGCCGATTGTTTCGTCATTCTCCTTTGACGAAGGAATCTTTTTAAATTTCTTCGAATAAAAAGAACGCTCGAACTTTGCGATCGAACGGAAAAGATCGATTATTTTTGAACGAAAACGATTTTCGTGGAAATCGCGAAATGATTTTGATGATTTCGACGGGATAGGAACAACGTAATGAAACGGGTGTCGCGTTAATTTTTGCCAGAATGGCTGCCAATCGTTATTAATTGTTCATTTACTACATAACTCCGTATGTATTTTTAAAAATTTCAAATTTTTAATCATCTTTTTTCTCACATCTTCTTTCCATATCCGTAGAAATTTGGTCGATTTTATCGGAAAATCGATTAAAAATGGATTAAAAGAATCGTTTAAAACTCGATATTACTAACGCGCTTTCCTCGGCCCTAATCTTCTTTCTCGTAGTATTCGAACGCTACGAGAACGCCGATTTACGACACGTGGACAAGAACCGCGCGTGTCTCGCCTTTCCATCCACAATACTCGCCAAATTGTACGCCATCAAAAACATTATCCATCTCTTCTTCCCCCAGCATTTTT